TTAAATATTGAGGTTTTTAAAGATATAAGCTCATCCCGATATTACACTCATCGATACCTTCCATTTTAGTACTCATATCAATTTTTCATATATTTATATATATGTATATATGAAAAATATATAAAAAATGCAAGTGGGTACTCAAGTGAAAGCTCTTGATGAGTGTAACATCAGGGTGAGCTTATCTCGTTAAAAATAAACATAATTAAGAAATTACCTTGTATCTTGAGAACTATTGACATTTTTAAAGATATAAGCTCATCCCGATGTTACACTTATCAAGACCTTTCATTGGAATACCCACATCAATTTTTCATATATTTTATATATAATATATATGTATATATGAAAAATATATCAAAATGCATGTGGGTACTCAAATGAAAGCTCTTGATGAGTGTAACATTAGGATGAGCTTATATCTTTAAAAATGTTGATAGTTAAGAGAGTACAGTGCAATTTAACATAATTAAGAAACGACCTTGTATCTTGTGAAATATTGACATTTTTAAAGATATAAGCTCATCCCGATATTACACTCATCGATACCTTCCATTTTAGTACTCATATCAATTTTTCATATATTTATATATATATATTATATATATGTATATATGAAAAATATATCAAAATGCATGTGGGTATTCAAATGAAAGCTCTTGATGAGTGTAACATCGGGATGAGCTTATCTTTAAAAATATCATTAATTAAGAAAGTAAATTAACCTGTAAGTGCGATATAAATAAAACAAAAATCGATTTCATTTTCAAAAAAACTGCTTTTTTTGAAATGTTGAGAGTAGAGCACTATCTCAACGCTTCGCTTATGAGGCGTGCAAAATATAAAAATAATTTCTTTCTATACAAAATTATCTTAAAAAACTAAGTACTAATACTCTTGAATAACTGTACAAATAAATATTTAAATAAATAATAAAGTAACTATAATAATAAAAATAAGTCATCTATCTACAACACTTTTAATAAAGCATGTACTATACCTTTTCCAAAGAGCGAGCTAATAAAAAATTGAAAGATCGTTAGTGATGTATAATAAAAAAATTGATTTAATAAAATACGCATTGCAGTTAAAAATGCGCCATATTGAACCGCCAGAGATGGACAAAAAAAATATATATTTTATGTTTATATAATTAAGTAGTTAATTTAAATATAATCTCTGGCGGGAAATTTTAGCTCACACAGGTATAGCATGCTTTTATTTGAAATAATTGAGATACTCGAGACACAGTAGCTCTACAGACAACAAAGGAATTAAAAAAAAAAATCACAGGCGAGTGTCTCACGCCTCTACTCGACTAAAAAAAAAGTCATGCAATGAAGTATGTAAGCTGTAAAAAAATCAAAACTATATCTGCACGATACTTATATATATATATATATATATATATATATATATATATATTTATTTAATACTTATATATATTTAATTAAACAAATGATTGAATTAATTAAATTAAATTAAATTAAATGGAGGATAAGTAATATTGAAATCATTCAGCGAACTAAAAAGATTAAAAATGGATAACGATTTTACTAATTGTAAATTAATAAGTGAAGAAACGAAATAATTATAAAAATAAATAAGAAGAATGAAGAACATGCCACTGATGTAGAATGCCAACGACGTTGTGAAATAATAACGAGTAAAATAAATGTAATGAAGAATATAATATAATAATAAAATATATTAATTGCCAGGCATATAAATTCATAAATTCATAATGAATTTATATTTTATGGAAGAAGCATCTGCGTGACACGATTAAGATTCAATTAAGTATTGAGTAATTAAATGAAATAATTGATTTTTTTTTTTTTTTTTTTTTTTTTCTACTGAACAACGATGTGTTGCACTGTTTAAAGCCAGAGATTTATAACAAGTCTACCTGAATCGACACTGAGTATTATTTTGACAGACGAATAACTTAGTAATCATCGAGGTCAACATCATCGAGAGGCTCATCAGCCTGCAGTGACTGGAAATCAACTTTGTAGCGGAGGATTCCTATATTTACAACATACACTCCATAGTTATATATTATTTTATATTTATGTTAATATTAATGTTATTATCAATCGATTAATACCAATTTTTTTAGATTTATAGTTGTAATTATTAAGTAATTAGCTGTTACTATATTCTCAGGCTTTTTAGTTTTTAAATAGCCAAGCTACCTCATTAACTATTCGGTTTATTTTGTTAGAGCATTTATTTAAGCGTCAAGAGTATTTTTCATTTTAATTGTCCATTTGCTTTACTAACTATGCAAGTATTTACAGTTCCAATTAATTGTCCTTATATTTAATTAGCAAGAATTAAAAAAAAAATTAAGGACTCGTTATATATTAAAAATTCTTTAGACAAAAAAATCTTCGGGATTTTTCATAAAAATAAATTAATTAGTATCAAAATGCCGCAAATATTTTTTTTAATACTTAAAATAATTTTTAAAAATGTGGATAAAGTTTTTTTAACTCGGACTATTAAATGGAACTGAATCAAAACTTATAATTAATATTTAAAAAATAAAAAAAATACTTAAAAAAAATTTACCTCCAATTCCACCAAAACCTCTGACAAATTGCGAGCCTTCTTGTGATTTGTCTGTGATTATTTCTAGGGTGGCACCAAAACTTTTGTAATTATTCGCTAGCCATTCCAAGAGCGGTTGACACTCGACTAACTCCAATTCTACCCCACTCTGTTTGGCAAATAAAATATTGGTTATTAATTATTCCGTTAAAATCGGTTGACCGTGTAGGCCAACCCTAGAACTTCCCTCTAAGTTTTAATTTAAAGCGCTTTAAAATGTGTTTTTTTTTGGTTAATATTTGAGCTTTTCAAGCTCAAAATACCCTTTTTCACATTTTGAGCTCTTCGAGTTCAAAATGTATTTATTAAGGTAGTACTACCGTTACCACAAAAGTCAAATCTCAAAACCAAGCCTGAGACAGAGATAAATTTTGAATTTTTTTTATTAATAAATATTCTCATACACTCGGAAACCATACTGATTGTTATTAAATATGTTCTAGATGTTATTTTATAGCGTTGTCTTAATTTTTATAAGAATCTGAACGTCCAGTTTTGTGAAATAAAATAAAGTCTTTGATTTCCCATAAGGATCAATGGTAAAGGTAAAAATATGTAAATATTAATATCTTTTTTTTCAGGACTTGCCAGACTTCCAAAAATTTTACTGCTTAATTATGATATTATAAAGTACTAGTATACGCCAAATTTCATTAAATTCTGAACGTCAATTCTAAATCCGGTAGTACTACCTTAAAAAACTATAACTTTTGAATGCGTCGTTCGGTTTTCATTTTTTAAAAAAATATTCGACGCAGTTTTTAAAGCACAAAAATAAAATGTATAGGTTCATATTGATTGGTTGAGAAATCTCAAAGATATTTTTAAAAAATACCGAAAAATAAAATTTTGTGAATTTTTAAACAACTATAACTTTTGAATGCATTGTTTGATTTTCATTTCAAAAATGCATTCGACGCAGTTTTTTAAGCACAAAAAATGTATACATAGTTTTATTATGATTTTTTCGCAGGCTTTTAAGTTATTTAAAAAAAAAAAAACATAAAAATTCAATTTTTTTTTTAATTTCTTTTGAATGGCTCGATGGATTAACTCTCAAATCTAATCAGATCTAAGTTTTGATAAACCCTTTCGAATGACGTGTCGTGGAATTCAACCGGTTGATTCGTTTTTGAGAAACCGTAAGACAAAAATTTATTTACACACACACGGCTGGACACCTTGGCGGGAATAGTCAGAATGGCTTTCTAGGACCTCAAAACGTGGACATCCGATAAAAACTCGACTTTCGAAAATCGGACCGAAATGAATACCTTCCCTTTAGTGGAAAATTTTCAATTTTCTTAGCGGGAATTTAAAAAAAAAATAAAAAAGAACGTACTTCTTTATCGGTGAAATGACTTTTGTCTTTTTCTTCTTCCGGAGTGAGATGCAGCACCTTTTCCTCGGCATTTGTATGGTTTTTGAGCACATATCGCTGAATGTCAAGATTCTCCCAACAGATTAGAGTCTCGACACTACCGAGCTCCAAAGCACGAAGCGTATCTTCTACTCCGAAACAATATTTACCGGTATCTTGGGATATTTCGTCAAAGTAACGCCCGATTAATTTTTTCTCCTGAATAAATTTAACGTTCTGCAGCGACTCGGCTGCCAATTCAATCGCTTGATTGAATCCGTTCTCACCACCATATGAAACGTCCACTAGCTTTATTACTTTAGCTTGTAATCTCTAAAAAAAAAAAAAAAAATAATCCATCAATATTATTATCAATTAAAATAAATTAATTAGTAAATAAAAGCGTACAGGATCAAACATATCGGATTGACTAAGTTCTGTCTTGAAATCAGCACTACCAGCTAAAATAAGTCCAGCAATGTTGGGTTTGTCGTTGGATATGTACAACTGAGTTGCTACTTCAGCAACTTTTCGTACGTAGTTGTGTCGCTTTTCCATACGCAATCGGGCGAAACGTAACGCGGATTGACCTCCTCTACCTATAATTAATTTAAAAATATTCAATTACATTTTTAATTATCTTTTATATGTTACTAAATTACAAACAATAATAAAATAATTACCGTGTTTTTTTGGTAAATCGACGGTGAATTTGTGGAGTACTTCGCGCGTATTTCCTTGCAATGTACCGAATAATGCACCATTACCATCCATTACAATGAAACCAAATTTATTATCGTCTGCTAGCAATGCTGTTAATGCTTCTGTATGGAACTACAATAAAATAACAATTATTATTACTATTACTCAAGTTTGTATAATTGAAAATTATTTAACATTTATTTAAAGAAATTTTAGGCTATCAAACTTATAAAAACTAGTAACCTTGCAGTCACTATGTGACTGCCGTGAATTGTGAACTATAAATAAATGAAATTTTGCTTTATTAAATAATGACTTTTGTTAAATTGCACTGTATTTGCTTAAATATTGACGTTTTTAAAGATATAAGCTCATCCCGATGTAACACTCATCAAGAGCTTTCATTTGAGTACCCACATGCATTTTCATATATATATTCATATATTTATGTATATATGAAAAATATATGAAAATGCATGTGGGTACTCAAATGAAAACTCTTGATAAGTGTAAGATCAGGATGAGCTTATATCTTTGAAAATGTCAATAGTTCACGAGATACAAGGTCATTTCTTAATTATGTATCTAGAAATAGA